TTCCATTTTTACACTTACATCTATTTATACTATTTCTAACTATTGTTTGTTTGGTGATAAAAAGATGTTTACATGTTTAGCATTATGTTATCATAATGCTTTGTTACTTATCACCGAATATAATTGTTTATGTTATTAAAAAGATGTTTACAGGTTTATACTTGTCTATCGTATTCTCTTTGTTATTATGTTATCATACAAGGTTAAAGGGCATATAGTTGTTTGTATGTATTTTGGTTCGTGAATAATGATTATATGTATATGTGTATGTATCTAGTGTTTAGGTTAGCGTCGTTAACTCGAACGATTGTTTTCGAAAGCAGGAGCAACAATAACCACGTCAAGAAATCGGTTGAATGGCAAACATTTCGAAAAACTTCTATTCTTGGGAAGTGGAACAAAAGAAGATATTTTTCGCTGAAATATTTTATTGATAAATGTTTTTTTAAATAAGATAAATTTGTAATATTTTCCAATGTATACGTATATGTGTAAATACCATGCATCTTAAACATGCTATGTAACAGAGTTTTATTTATTTTCAGTTCCTGCATTATTAAATTTTATTATTCGGAGTTTAGGGTCCCCAGAGGATGGTTAACTTGTGATTTAAAAAAATAAATTTAGCTTAGTACGGAATACATAATGAGTACCGATACGAGTAGGTATCGATACTTTAGGCCCGATATTTTTCGGGCATCGATGCTTTTTTTCGATACTACTTCCAAGTAAAAGTATCGATACCTGCATGGTATCGTTTCATCCCTAGTCTCGCATCACATAATCTGGACCAGTTATGTCCCAGAGACAACGTTGCATCGCATAGCAATCTAAAAGTCTTTAAGAAAATTGTCATTCGCATCCATTTTTAACGTTGCACTGATAATATTCGAAAATCTTGTTATTTACACTGCTGTAAGTATGTAAACATGTGTGTACGCTGCGAATATTTCGCTTGACTGACAATTTTGGGAACACACTGTAGGGTTCTTAGTTTTATTGCACTTGTTCATTTTGAAAATAAAATTTTCTTACTGCAAATATTTTTCTTGAGCTGTAAACAACATTATTTCATTTAGAATTTTGGATTATAGGTATCCACACACCTATGCGATTCTGTCGGTGCGAATCTGTTCCGACAAAAATTACAACAATGCCGACCATATGTAGTTTTAAATGAGGAACCACACACTTATACGATTTTGCTGCAGCGATTTATTCGAACATGCACAGTTCTTCTTTTCGTCGTGCCGAAATCGCAGACTGCCGCGTTTTAGAACGAAAAAGGTTAATAGAAGGATTTTACAATAATAAAACAAAATTGAACGTAAGAAAAGAATACATATTTGATGTAGAAAAGTTAAGAAAATTATTTTTGTTGAAAAATATTTTTTGTTTGTCTTTAAATTGACAGTTTTTACTGCGATAAAACCGCACAGATGTGTGCGTACTTGCGTGTTCGAAGTAGTAACGTTTGTAGCATCAAAAACGGTGAGGATTCGTTGCGACAGAATCGCGTAGGTGTGTGGATACCTTAAACCTTTTAAATAAATTTATATATTGTTAACTACAATTGGCCATCCTGACAGTTGTAGTTAACCCGACTTTATAAAAATCAAAACGCCAATCTATTTTGCATAAACCTTGGTACATCGCCATTCGTACCAGACCTTCAGCCACAGTCACAGCCAAAAGGAGAAACTAAGCCGAAAAGAGCTGTCTTTGTTACCGAGCGCCACCGAACATCAACAACCTGCTTGTTCAGAGGAAAATACGATGGTTTCTTTGGCTATTGCTACAAGGCACAATCTAACATCTTTCCGACCACGCCGATTCACAATGAGCTAAGCGAATTTGCACAATTACCATCACAGCTTGGTATTTCACCACCCCACATCCTTGAGTAACGCTAAGGATCATTATCATCACCATCAACCGACGACGTCAAAGCATTTGGGTAGGAAAAGTGACGACACAATTACCAGCGCCCCTTTGTATACCAATTCCGTCACCTTGCAGCAACTGCGTATTGCATACAATCTGCAGGCGCTAAAGGCCGCCAATCAGTTGAAGGCACCAGCACACTCCATACCATCGCGGTATCAACCGCCACCCCAACCAGGAGGCAACCAGGCTGACATATTGAAGCACATAAATAATTTGCGTTGCAGCTGCAACGGCGACGGCGACGGTGCTAAAAGTGCGGAAACGCTGCTTGGCCAACGTCCGTCCACAGGTGGCAATACGCATTACACCACGTCAAATTTTGATACAACGCACTTAAATCGTAAATATCCACAATCGTAAATATCCGCAGTCACAGAAACTGGAACAGCAGTCACAGAAACTGGCGCAGCACTCACACAAACTGGCACAGCAGTCATAGATACTAGCACAGCAGACACAGCAACTGACTTAGCTGCCACAGTAATAACCAACATCCGGTCGACTATGCTGTTAGAAGCAACAATTTCAGTACATAGTGGTGAGCTGTATATTTTTGGCTAATATTTTTTAAAATTATTTTTCCTTTAAATTAAATACATATAATATATTTTTTGATTATACCGTATATTTAAATTTGTTTCGGACCAGTTGTAAACACTCCTTATAGAGATTATTTGTGTGAAGTTATCATAACGTTTCGTTCACCTCCCAATGATACACACATACCTACGCGGACTAACAATTTAAATGACTTGCTTGTAGATTTTCAAAACAACTCTTCAAGATGAGTTGGCAAATGCTTATGCTAGTCAAACCAATAATGAGGTGTATGCAACCTCAGTCAAGCTTCCGCAATTTTCGGACAAGTTGTCCAGAAGCTTGGTTTGTTTAGACAGAAATGCAATTTAACATGAAAAACATTACACAAGATACTACAAAATATGAACACACAATCACAGCGCTCCCGCAGGAAGTAATATTTACAATATTAGATTTCATTCAAAATCCTCCGTATAACAACAAGTTTTCAGTACTGAAGAAAGTCTTAATTGAAAGACATTTTTTAAGCGAAAATAGAAAATTAGATACAACTTTGTCAGATTCAGAGATTGGTGATCGTAAACCTTCTGAATTTTATCGGTCGCTCATGCCGCTTATATATATATATATAAGTTAATCTCTCGTGTCGCGAGAGATATAAAAAATTAAAGGTGCGGCGAACCCACTGTTCGCCGATGCTATTCAAACCGTAATTAAAAGACGGACAACTCGAGTTGAGCTTATCACAATTTATTACTAACTGAAACATATGAATTGACTTACTGGCTAACCTCTTACTCCTAACTACTTATGCTAAGGTTGCAGTTCCCACATTTCGCAAGTTGGGGCTTGCGCGTGCAGACAGGAATTGCTTATATTGCAATTCCCATGATTTCAATAATTCCGATACTTGACCTGATCGATGGTTGCGCGTGTGCCGCGTCAGCAAAGTTAGTAAGTGCCACAATATGGTCACATGCCTGGCAACGTGAGTAAAGGGTGCGCCATTGATCGGTATTGGTATTACAGGTAAGATAACTCCTCCCCCTTTAAAGATCTACGTCCCGTAGATTGAAAGTTGAAAATCGTGAGGGGGTAAAATTTTGCAGTGAGTTATTTTGGCTTTCCGATGTTATGTTGGTCCTGATCGCTGTAACTGGTAGGCTATTATCTACGCAATATAGTTCGGGTGCGGATTTTCCTTTGATGATTTTGTTAACGCTGACATTTCCTGTCCAATGTGAAGGAATCTGGACCGGTGGCAGATCTAGTCTTTCGGTGTAGCATCTCCACAGCAGGCCGGCAATGAATAGTATTGCAAGGATTGAAATGGCTTCTGTAATGAGGGAAAAATTGATATTTTCATTAACATACCCCAAATATTTTACGTTCTTCATCGTGATGTCGTGGACATATTCCAAGTTTATCCTCGTGGTGTGATTCTTTACGTTAGATAGTATAGATGGCAGGGCATGCGTTGTAACCGCCTCGCTGCTAGAGAACTCTTGGTCACCGATTCTAACTCTTTCATTATGCAATTGGATGACATATGTGCGGTTTATTACCTCTGAACCATTATTGCTCCTGATTTTGCCTTGGTAGTTGGAGATGAAAATGGTGTTCTCGTTTATCAATTCTATATGTGTGTCATTTCGCCTCTTGAATTGGCAACTAGCTTCTCCTCCTTTTAGCAATCGTGGTAAGCAGTCGCTCTCCTCCAATTTGATCAAGGATTCTGCTTTACATACTGTGGTTGAGCTGATCATTAAACAATCCTTCGTCAATCCGTATGTTTCTTTCTGATTGACGAGCATCCTGTCGAATTGTAGGTCAAGCTGTTTGCCTTCGTAGATTCCGGCGCGAGTAATGAGGAGATTATATTTGCTAGCCGTAACTTTGGGCATTGAGAGGACGTAGATGAGTAGTGTCCCGTTTGTAAGTACAGATGGTTCGCCATATTCGATTGCTTCGATGACATTTTGATATGGAAGAGTTTCTATTTCTGATAAGATCTGGTTGACTTCGCCTGTGTCGAGTAAATTGGTATTGACAATTCCGTGTTTTGCTAGTTGGCATGCCCGCACTATCTCATTAATCTCGTCTCGAACTAGCAGGATGTTGTGAAGTGCGCTTTGTTCGAGCTCTATTGATTCGGTTTCCTTCGCTACGTAATTGGTGCGGTCCACCACTTCGTCGATTTTCTTCAGGACTTC